CTCATAAAACTGGGATCCTTATAAGAAGAGAAGAGGACACAGACATACACAAAAAGGCAACCATATGCAGTTACCAGGAGAACACAGTTATCTGCAAAGCCCAAGAGCAAGGCCCCAAGGTGCTGTTGACACCTTGAACTCAGCCTCCAGGACTGTGAGAAAATAAATTCCTGTTGTTTAAGCCACTCAGTCTGTGGGACCTTGCTAAAGAAGCCCAAGCAGACTTATATGAACAAAGACAAGCCAAAGGTGGGAAGAGGGAGACAGGTATCCAGAAAACAAGGTAAAGTCAAGAGTGAAATAAAAGAGGTTTCCAGTCACCAAAGGATCATGAGACCCAGCTACAGTTGCAGAGACTCTCGGGGGTCAGGGAGGGTGTCAGCAGAGACCCAGAGATAGAGAGAGAGCAAAGCAGGCAGGTTAGCTTCTAGGGAGAGACCGAGATAGACCTAGCAGCAAGATCTCCACACACAGGGCAGAGATGAGCAGAGAAGGAGTTAGACTGGACAGGATCTTGGTGTTCTCCCTGCCTTATGCTCCTTGTGGGCATCCCTCACCCCAAGCCCACTCCTGCCTGAGTGAGATGAGAGCTGTGAATAACGGTGCTGTGGTTGGCAGCTGCCTGGGGTCTCACCGTGGACCCTGACGATGGAGCTGGTGCAGGCGCCCCCAGCCTCACACTTGTAACGCCCACCATCCTGCAGGGAGGTGCCAATGATGACTAACTGGGCCCGGCAACCCTCATAGTTCAGCTGGCACCGGGCAGATGGCCGAAGAACCTTCCCATCTTTGGTCCAGCGCACAGGGCTTTCTGGAGCTGTGGTCTCACAGGTAAGGGTCAGGTCCTCACCCTCAGTGACTGTGGCATCTGTGAGCTCCTGAGAGAAGATACTTGGCTTCTCTGTGGAATAGAGATAAGGGCAAAGGGTGCTTGGGTCTATGGTGTAGCAGAACCAACATGGAGAAACCCTGGGCCTCACTGTAGACCAGGCAATATCCTGAGTCAGTATCCACCTGTGGCCCTTGGGCTGGGGCCACAGAAAGGGCTATTGAGGGGACAGAACAGGTTCTGTGTGGCTCCCATCCCACTGGGGATACAGCCAACCTGTGCCAGGCCAACCACGGTTCTGCATACCATACAGGAAGAATTCATTTTCAAAGCCCTACTCAACCTTACAAGCCTGACTCCCTGGGGTTGAAACCCCCATGGGCAATCAACAGCACTTTTCTGTGAGCCCTGGGACCATGCTCAGCAGATGGCTGAACTGCTGTCCAAGCTGTCTGCCTGAGCAATAGGCATTATGTGGTAACCCCACCACAGCCCTGGCCTCTAGGTACACAACCCACCAGTGACCCGCAGGGTGGCCGAGGCCCGCTGATCACCCGCCTCAAAGTAGATGGTGCCCGAGTCCTTGAGTGCCAGTTGCCGTAGAGTCAGTACATGGTATCCCCCAGGCTGGGCCTGGATCTCGTTGAGCTCGTTTGCATGCAGCGGTGTCTTATCCAAGAACCAGTGCACAGGCCCGTAGTCAGCGGGGGAGACACGGCAGCAGAAGGTGGCTGAGGAGCCCTCCCGCACATTTGCATCCTCAAGGTCCTCAGTGATGAGCACTCTCTGGCCTGCATGAGCACAGATAGGCATGTTAGGGGTCCCCACCATCTGGGTTCAGACTCAGCTGTCTGCCCACAGTCAGCATATCTCCGAACCAAACAATAGCAACTTTGTTTAACAAGCTTGTGTTAGGCCATCCCTGTAGCACAGTAGTTGAGGGAGCCAGATCCCACATGGCTAACTGCAGTTCAAGTCCCAGCCCCAGCAGCTTGAGAAGCATACTGGGCACACATATAGGTATGCTCAAACCCCTGATGGGAAGGTGAAATGAAGGAAGGACTGCAGCATGACCACTGAGTGTACCCCACTGAGTATTCTCTCTCTCTCCCTCTCTCCCTCTCTCCCTCTCTCTTTCTCGTGGGTATATGCACCCTGACAATAATAATATTGAGGTTAAGAAACACTATAGCAAGTTTATGTTGAAGGATCTCAGAAAATAGTAAGTAAATCAGAGGTAAACAATCCAAAAATACTTGCTTTAGGTCAACCTCAGGGGCCTAAATGTGAGGGAGCCAGATCCCACATGGCTAACTGCAGTTCAAGTCCCAGCCCCAGCAGCTTGAGAAGCATACTGGGCACACATATAGGTATGCTCAAACCCCTGATGGGAAGGTGAAATGAAGGAAGGACTGCAGCATGACCACTGAGTGTACCCCACTGAGTATTCTCTCTCTCTCCCTCTCTCCCTCTCTCCCTCTCTCTTTCTCGTGGGTATATGCACCCTGACAATAATAATATTGAGGTTAAGAAACACTATAGCAAGTTTATGTTGAAGGATCTCAGAAAATAGTAAGTAAATCAGAGGTAAACAATCCAAAAATACTTGCTTTAGGTCAACCTCAGGGGCCTAAATGCACCTCCTTCTACCTCTGGGGTCTTTCTGCAAAGCTTGGAGATGAAGCCATAGCCTGCCAAATGCTTGGAAGAGCACAGCCTCTTGCCTTTTTGTTGACCTATGCTTACCAAGAGCAGGCATTCTGCTCCCAAACCTGCTTATGCTAGTTGTGCTTGTCATTATATTGATGTAATGTAATTAATGTTGTATTAAAAGATAAAATATGAGTGCAAAAAAGTCCTAGTTATGTTAAAATTTAAATCAAATACTTTGGAGAATGGAAAATGAGAATTCCTAAATAGAATTATTTTTGCTGTTGAATTAGATATGGTACAAAGAACTCATGAAAATTGAGATGGATCCTATATTCAGATTCTTTCTGCATTCCTGTCTTGAGGTGTGACTCCACTTTAAAGATGCTGACACTAGACAATGTGCACGGTGCTTCTGGTCAGTGGACCAACACACAAAGAAATGGTTCTGGCCTACCTCACCAAACTGGTAGACACCTATAGGTTTTAAATTTTTAGAGTACCTTTCATTATTTTATGATTCCTACCTAAATGGGCTTTTTTAAAAATTAATGATGAGTACAAACTTTATTAGATCATGGGGCTTTGTACTAACAAAACACTTTCCCTGGATTCACTGAACTCACTGAATTTCACTGAAAAAGAGAAGAAAGCATTAATGAAGGATCTTTGTTTATTTTACTCCTAATTATTATCGATGAGGCCTTTTGAACTCTGAATCCTGTTATCCTTGTGGACAGACTCCAGCAGGGACTTCCAGAAGACTCAGCCCTGGATGCCAGCCAAGGACTCCAGACCAGGCAAAAACTGTAGTCAGGAGTGCTGAGCACATCCGTGCCCAGAAACCCACAGCACAGGCCACACAACCATGGGCCAGCCATTGTTTCCTTAGCGACAAAGCAGGGTGGAAAGATAATTCTCATCTTACATTCTGGATGAAAACTACCAGACATGGAGACAGACAGTAATAACAAAAAGCCTCTGTAACTATCAATAATAGTCATAACTGTCACTTCTCCCTGGCTATTGGCATGTTTGAGCCAGGCTGCCCCTCTGGGATGGAAGTGACACATCATGTGTGCAAATACATACATACACACTGAAGAAACACAATGAGCAAATAAATCCATGAATAAATGAAAGCTATCAACTCATTCACAGAAGATTAAGCTAGAGCCTTAGAAACTACCCAGGCTGATCCATTCTACCCTTAGAAATGGGAAAGCAAAGGCTGCAACCATCCAGGGCCAGGTAGAATCCCAATCTTTAAGTCAACTGCACACACAGCCTACTCCTGAGCACACCTGGTTGGCCTCACCTTTCACCAGAAGCCTGGCCTGGGACTGGGCCTGTCCAATGTCGCAGGTATAGGTGTCACTATCTGCCCTCTCCAGGGCACTGATGGTGAGTCTCAGGATCAGGCCCTCCTGGCTGGGCACGTGCTTCCCTGAAGCCTGAAGCTCCATGAGGCCCTTGCGCCAGGTCACCTTGGTCACGGGGTGCTCCGTCTTGCAGGTGAACACTGCTGTGCCCTTCTCCTCTACCTGCAGGTCAGTCAGCTCCTCTGTAAACCGGTTTGCCTTTTCTGGGAACAGAGATGTGCCAGGTGGGGCATGAGACCTGCGCAGACCCTACACTTCCTGGCCCACCCACAGAAACTCTAGGGCCCAGGAGAGCCCATCCCACCTGCAACAGAGGAGGTGAGGCTCCGTGGTGTGACCATGTACCACGCTGAGGGAGCCAGGGCACTACAGGGCCACGCACATCTCCCATGGCATTTACCTTGCACACGGAGGCTAGCTGTGCTCTTGGAAGCTTCCGTCTCGCATGTGTACTCTCCTGAATCCTTGAGAGTGGCCCCACGGATGACCAGCACAGCCCGAGTGCCTTCACTGAGCACATCATACTTCTGACTCTTACGGATGGCCTTCCCGTCCTTCAGCCAGCGTACTGCTGTGCCCACACATGACAGCTCACAGCTCAACCTCACGTCCTCCCCCAGCACGGCCTGCTGGTCTTCCAGGGGCTTTGTGATGTTCACTGGCCTCTCTGAAGGGAGCAGAGGTAGCTACCTATGAGGCAGAGCCATGGCTACAG